GCGGTATTTCTCTGTATATCTTTTGTCTTGCTTACTGTTATTGCTGTTTATTGTTGTTGTCATTGCTGCTGTTGTTGTTCAGATAGCATGCTTATTACACTGTTGTATTAAATTTCTTCTTATTTTAACCCAGGGTTTGTGCCTCACTTCCAGCCTGACCAGCTGGTGGGGGGGGAGGGGCAATGGCAACGTGGTCTCTGGTCCCAGCAGGGCTTAAACCACCACAATAGAGCACTGGCCACCTTTCTTGCTCAGTGATATCTAAGGCCAGCTGGATGGCCTTCACCTCTGTGAAATGACTCAATTCACCTTCTCCTTCAGCAGCTTCTGCAACCTGTTGTTTGAGGCCCCACACAGCCATTTTCTACCTTCGATGTTTCTGTACAATGCAGCAGGACCCCTCGGTAAACAGGGCATATAATTTCTCATTATCTGGTAGTTTATTTATATGGTAGAGCCTCTTCAGCACGTTTCACCTCTTCCTCTGGCACCATTCCACAATGTTTGCCTTCAAGCCAATTTTTGATCACTTTAGTACGCCTGGGAAGCTGGGGATCCCTGTTCAAGCACGTTGTGTGATTACAGAGTCACAGAATCATCTAGGTTGGAAAGGACCTTGAAGGTCATCTAGTCCAACCGTTAACCTGACAGTTCCCAACTACAGCATATCCTTAAGCGCTAAATCGACCCCTTAATGCAACCCATTTACTCCATGTGGCATCAGTTCCATGGTGTGTAGAGGGGACACTCCCTTTGAACATCCAGCCCAGCACCGGCAGTCGGGGTGGCAGGAGGAGCTGTGCTTCAGTGCCAACCACTTCCAAAGCAGCTCGAACACCTTCATACGCTGTCAAGATCTCTTCTTCAGTTTGAGTATAGCAGGCTTCAGATCCTCTATATCCCTGACTCCAAAACTCTGGGGGTCAACCCTGAGTCTCCCCTGGTGCTCTCTGCTGACTCCAGGTAGGGCCATACTCCCTGGCTGCTATTTTTAACACCTTGTCCTGTCCGAACTGGCGCAAGGGCTACTGTATGAACTATTTTCTCTTTAATTTGTTCAAAGGCTTATTGTTGCTCAGGACCCCATATAAAATCCTTATTTTTCCAGGTCATTTGATAGGGCTTACAGTCTGACTGTAATTTGGAATATATATCATACATTCCCCAGAAACCCACAATGCCTAAGAAAGCTTGCATTTCCTTTTTGTTGGTCAGTTGGTACATAGCTGTTATTTTATTAATCACATCCATTGTAATCTGATGATGTCCATCTTCCCATTTTTTTTCCTAAAAAATGAATCTCCCATGCAGGTCCCTTGACTGTACCCTGCTAGCAGGAGTTATTGATAATACACTATATAAAATGCTGTCTTCGTATTCATAAGAAACGTAACAAGGATATTCAGTATGCCTCAAATGCAGAGCAACAACAGTTGTGAGGAAAAAAAAAAAATTGACAAAGGTTCAGCACTTCCATCCCCTCCAATTATCACTGAGCAAAACCTTGTCTCCCTTGTATTTCAAAAAGTAAACCAAACTTTTAAGCATTTGGTAACACAACATCATTTTGCTATCCTGTAAAATACATACAACCAGAAAAACAGCACAACCCTTATGTTTTCCTTTGTGGGTCACTTATGTTCAGAGAAGACTCTGCCTGAGATCACTTTATCATGGCTACAGCCACAGCCAGCAGACTAGGCTAGAAGTTGATGGACTATCTTTTAAGGCCCATGGCCTTTTTTATACCTTTAGAGGATCCAAGACTAGGAGACACACATTGTAGAGTAGTAGCTCATTTCCAACCACAGGAACCTAACATTTTAATGGATTGAAGGTGTATTTGCAATAAGTACAGACCTTTTTTTACAAATATCAATGAGACCAAAATGTCCCGTAAAATTTGAAACTTTTGCACAGTTATTCATGAAATGTCATCAGAGTATCATCTATTGATAAGGCTACAATGACAAGGTATGACAATCATCCTAAAAAATTCCCTCCAACTTCTCACAGCATTTTTTTCTGTATTTATTTTTTATTGTAATTTGTAAAAGGAGAAAATTGCATTTCTTTCTCCTCTGTCTCCATTTCTTTCACTGATTTGGAATCACACTGAAAGTTAAGACTGATAAATAGTAAGATGTTAGTACTTTTATGAGGTCTACTTTTTGCTTCATACTGTAAAGCAGTCATCTAAGGCATGCTGCATATGAAAATCACCAACTACACTGGTATTTGTACTTTTTGCATAAATGAAGAAGAGATGGCTGCAGATGTGCTACATTCTTGCTAAGAAACTTATTTGCTGCTAAAACACTTTAGAGGATAATTAGTCTTGAAAAATCAAGAAAAATATTTTGGACATTAGCTTACCTCTGTTCATCTTGCAAGTCTTGGTTATGCAAACTACAATGACTATTATCAGACCTTAAAGAATTACCTACCTACACTAAAATTAAACAAAGATGACATAAACTGTGAATTTCTTTTTTAATATTTCTGAACCATTATTAACCAATACCACTACCACCTGCTCATTAGTTACTGAGTCCCGAATTTGATACAGTTGCTGTTTTCTGTCAAAGTAGCTAACCATAATAAAAGAGCAGAGGAAATTAAAGTTTGAGCTATATTAGTTTAACATATGTTGCAATCTTTTTAAATCATTCTGCCATGTTACTTCCCTGTTTACCTAAATAGACAGCTATAATCATGAAAGCTCAAAGAAATGGATTCTATACATAGATATCTAAAGTCATACCAGAGTTTGAGGAATGCATAGCATTGAGTCAGGATTTTGGCTCGTCCCTGCGATTGGCACTTTTACAACAAAGACCTGCCTTTGGATCCCAGTTCTTCAAAAAATCTAGTTCTAGACCCTTCTGTAAGAAAATATCAGTATGATGTCCTTTTATTACGGGAACTACAGAATGCTCCTATTACAAACAGATGGGTTATCTAATACTCATTAGTGCCTCAACCATGACATTCTGTTGCTGTTAGAGTGTAATCTGTCAGGAGGAAGAACTGTTTGTTGCCTGTCCAGTGCTGTAATAATTCATTCTCTGTAGATCCTCATGAGAATGGAAAATTACAGCCATGCAAGTTACAGCATCCTGCCAGGTTTCTCTCTTCTATCTATAGGAAAGTCTTAATTTCAAGAAGCAGAAGCAGTTTTCCCTTTTTTCAAAATAAATGTTCTGTGCTTGTAGGTGAAGGATGTGGGCATTGGAAGAAAAGCATCACATGGCTGGTAACTTAGTCATTACACTTTTAACCATGGTGGAAGTTTTTTGCTCTATACAGCCATGCTTAATGCTGTGCTGGTTGCTAATTTTAAGAAATAAGTTCTCTAAGCTCTACACTTTACTATCTTGCTTTACTGTGCACACATGCATATATAAAAACATAGCTGACCTCAGGAAGGATCTAAACAGGTTAATTAATATTTACTAACAACTCAGAGCCATGTTGATAAAAGTAGTCTTTGTTCATTTGTGCTTTTGAGTGGTTTGTGGTTTGTTTTTTTTTTTTTTTTTTTTTAAATACTTACATGATTGATACAGGAGAAAGAACCAAGGCCAAGAATCAGTTACTGTTAGAAGTGTTGGCATGTGATTTTATGAAAGGTCATGGGAATTAGGACATTTCTTTCCTTCTGCAGACTATTTAGTGAAAAGGGAAAGAAAAATCAGAAAAATTAGAACATCTTGAAAAACTGAAAGTCAAAACTCATGGGATTTTATATTATTTTCCTTCAGAGAGCAAGAAAATTCACCCTGATTTTTTACCACTGACATATGCCATGAATCCACAGCTATTAAAATTTAGTGCAAATCTAACTCAACTCTGCAAATGTCAACAGTGGTTGCCTGGCAGTAGAAGTAAGGTTAAATGTTAACCATAGTACTCTGTGCTACAGTATGTCTGTTCTCTGATGGAACCACTTGCTTAGTCTCAAGTGTGGGCTGAAGAAGAAAGGATGTGTGGGGAGAATAGGTGTCACAGAACACAATTAAATGGGAGTTTTGTGTGTATAAGGTGGCTGCTCTTTGGCTATTTTCCTGTAATCAAACTTTAACACAGTGGTAACGACAGAATTGGTGCATCTCTTGGCTCTCCCTCTTGCTGTAGTGTTCTAATGGGAAATACAGATCACACAAAGACGTTTCCATAGATTTGAAGAAAGTTCCCTTGCTTGACCAAGGAGTGTGAATGGCTGATAACATGCCAATGTTAGGCCAGACCTATGCAGGCCAAATTTAATCTATATGTGCAACGTCACTAAAGCTGATGGAGGTGGTCCTATTTGCATAGTGCATGCAGAAGTTTGAGACTTCACTGCTCTTGGTTGTCATTCTGCTCCTTGCGCTGGTTACCACCCCTGAGGCAAAGCTAGCACAAGAAGATATGTGAGTTTGTATCTTTGCTTATAAACTTTTCAAGCTGATGGACTAATGCAAACTCAGCTTCATTGTTCATGTAAATTAAGATGTCAGGTTTGGAGTGACTAGAGAGAGGTGTGGATTTTTACCTTTCTGATGTCCCTGCTTAAAGGGATAACTTTTTGCAGAGATAGGTAACTGTTAAGGGCAACAACACTGATTTGCACTAATAAACTTGCCAGACCTTCTCTATTTGAGCTGTAAGTTTAAATTTTGCTCTTTCAATATTAGTGGATCTTCTACACATCTCAAAACCCACAAAAACAAATCATACTTTTGCAGTATTCTTAAGGAACAGTTTTTTAGGAAGCTCCTGGCTCTTAATGATTACTGGGATACCTGACCTTGGATTTATATCTAAAATATTAGAAAGCTGACCATCTCTAATTGCCACTTTAAGTGATACTCAGATCATCATGTCTCATGTATTTAGCAAGTCTAGGTTTTTGGAGGCTTCTTGAGATTTGACCTTACGTAAATGCTCTTTAAATTACTCAGAATCATTTCACAGCCTAATTAGCATGTGATAAAATCACTTCAACTCACCTCAGTTGACAATAGTCCATTAAAGTAACCCATGTAGATTTACTTGTCTATTGTTACATATTTACTGACTGTCATTTATATATGAAGAAAACTTCAAGAAGAGAATTGCCCTAAACAGAAATTATAAACCAGTGTATTGTATTTGCAGTATATAGCAGTATTTGTATTTACCAGCAAATTGTCTTGTGTCTCTTTTGAGTAAAAGTGAGCTGTGATCTGGAGGGAGAAAGAGAAAAAAAAGAAATCTCTGCTATGCTACTAGAAGATGGCATTTAATCAGCTAGACCAGTTAATAACTCTTGCTGCCTTTTTTATTTGTCAAGGGCTCAATATTTTTTCAATATGAGGTCTGCTTCAGTATGCTTTAAATGGCAGTTTATAATTAATGGTACTTGAGTGTATCTCTTATTTCCAAAATTCATACAACATTCTTGGTTACAATTTATACATGATTTTAAAGTATAATTAACATTCAGCTTTACAAGATATATGCAAACAGATATGCAAATTTGGAAATAAATATGCAAACATATAAAATGTTGTTGAATTAAGTAGTCCTTAACATTTTTAATGAAATCAATATTTTATTCATATTTTGCACACAATTTTGAGTACTTAGTGATTTGGTAGTTCTCAGACTTTTGTGGACCATGTCGACAGATTGATTCTCCTATGGCTCATCTTGTCTTCCAGTCTCCTGAACCTCATAGTTTCCTTATGGAAAACAGGAGCTAATCCAAACCCCTCTAAATTATTGGGATTCTTTTCAGTTATGCTATGTGGTTATTTGAGATAGTAAACTTGGCATGTTAGTGAAACAGTTTAAAATAATCTTTATAAAAGCTTCATATTGAATCACATTAAAGGTCTGTATAGCCCAGTATCCTAACAGTAGCAGAAAATCCCCCAAAACCTCAACTATAGAAAAATATGAAAATATACATCAAATATATCACCTAGATTTTTTTTTCTAGCCTATAGCCTCTTGTGAGGTTATGGCCATTTCTATGCAGTTAGTTACCATCCATGGAACTCTTTTATATATGTGTATATATATAAAAAAACCCTATATATATTCTGACCCTGACTATGTTGGTGGTTCACCAGTTTACCAGTGTCCTTCTAGTTGCAGAGATCCCAAATCCAGTATTATAGATGTGGTCTAACAAGTGATGGGTCTCTATTCCCTTCCCTCAATCTGCTGATTATGCTGATAATACAGTCCAGGATGATGTGGGCTGTCTTCATTACCAGACACACTACTAGCTCACTGCTGCAGGTGAGGATACTGCCTCCACTTGCCCCAGCTCCAGGGAGAGGACCGTGGCAATCTCTGCAGCCCCAGACCTCGAGAACTGCATCCTCCCTCAGGAGCTCATCTGAGTTATGACCTCTGGTGTGCTAGAGGTAGTTGCTCCAGCCAGTTGCTGTTGTCTGTATGGAAACCAGTCCATTCCTTCCTACCATGTCACAGTGATGGCTTTTGAATATTCTGTCTTCCCCCATCCTCTCCACTACCCCATAACATGTGACTCAAGTGGCCTGATATTTTCCTTCTCTGGATGCAGGAAGCTATTTTCACTGCCACATGGTGCTAGTAGCCCTCACTTGTTTAATCTTTTCAGCAAATTTGCTATATGATTCCCGTCCCTGAATGCCTGCTATTCTTCAGCTTTGGCTGGCCACAAACGATTCCTGCCAAGGAAATGTTATCTCAGAAGGACATGTAGTTAAGATACTCAGAAAGTAAAGGTATAAAGATGTATGGAATTTTGTATTTAACTGATAAGAAGGAAAATCCTCAGAGATCCTGAGAGAAAATCAGTGTTCTGGCTGTAGTTGCTAGTAAATAACTAGGTATTAGTACTGGGAGACTGATAGGTGCTTCACTGTTATAACAGATCTATATATGTTGTGATAATGTAGCAATAGATTGAACTAGGAGGTCAAAAACTCCTGGTACTTCAAACTGCACCCTTTATAATGTAATTATGTAATACATGCTGAGGAGAGGCACAGGGAACAGTTGAAGGGTTTGGTGTTATAAAGGTCAAAGGCTGAAGTAGCAGGCAGTGTGTAGAGGCAGGTTTCCATTTGGTCTTCATTGCCATCCAAAGCATGCACATTTTTGAACTACTGAAAAAATGTTACAGAATTTCTGCAACTACAGAAATGCTGAAACTAGCAGTTTCTTCAGACTTAGCTAGCAAAGCCCTCTCCATGTAGATTTTGGTGTTAGACAGGATGGCTTGGGCAAGCGTTGACTTAAACGGAAGGAATTTGAATACCCAAGCATACAAATGTAGAGTGTATGAGTGTGGCAAAGAAAATTGCATTCAAGTCACAATGTACCATAGAAGGCAGAAGGCATACCCTATTCAACTTCCAGTTGCAGAACCTGAACCAACGTTAAGCTTTACAACACTTCAAGTACTACGGATCCCACAAGATGACTGTCAGCTGAAGAGTAAATGTGGTTTCCTATCCTTGGTTTGCCAGATTACTAATCAAGATCATATGTCTAGGCTTTAAATCATGTAGGGTTACTACATAAACTTCTTACACGCATCAAGAACCATGCTGAAGTCTATGTTGTTGATTATTTAAGACTTACTCATTTTAATAAAGTTTGTAGGATTGATCCCTTCCATTTTTTCAATAAATCCTAGAATGTTTCATTTAGTTTACATCAGTGCACAAGTAATCAAAACTGTAATTATATCTCTAAAGAAACATCACTTAAAAATAGACATATGAATGCTGTTTTGATCATTGCAAACTGCTATTTGTGGTGCAGTGTTTTGGTTATGAGATGTAGAAAAATTTATCTGCCCTTGCAGGTGCATACTCAAAATACTATTTCAGGGCAAGTAGTGCTGTAGTATTTTTCTGAGAGACATTTATTTATTTATTACTACAGGTATAGCGAGTGAAAACAATACAGCTGCTTTCCTGTACATCTGTGGTAGTTTCAGTGTTTTTTAGTATATAATTGACTGAAATAAGACCTAATGTATTTAGCAAAACAGTGTTCAGAGTATGCAACACTCTCTGCCTTCATACCAGATAACCTTGGTCTTTAAAAGACTATACATGCGAAGTTGCTCAATTCCATATGCTTTTTATTCTCCCAGCATATTTCAGGGTTGATTTCTTGATTTTGTTTCTGTGGGTTGGATTTCATTTCAGCAGATTGCCCAATCCCCTCTTCATTCTATTGTAATTGGTTTTTGAATTGTCTCAAGTTCTCCAATGGATTTATGACAATCTGAAAATTAACAATAGCCCCTTAATTGCACAGGGCTATGTGATTCATGAAGAACTTACTTGACTGATATGTCTTCCCCCTCACTTCCAGCCAGGCAGTCCTGTGTGCTTTTTAAACCAGAGTAGAGGCAGTAAAATGTGTATACATTGAAACTTTTTCTTCCTGGCACTCCATCACTTGGAAAGCAATCTGAGGCTTTTCCATACGATGATGTATTGGCAGTAACTTATAAAACCCCTAAAATATGGAAACATGGTTTTTGATTATGCTATAAATTGGGATTATTTCCTTCAGGCAGGCGGAAGGACATGCCAGCTGGACTTTATATTTTGGCTGTTAAAAAGCTTTAGGAGCCAAAATTATAATTAGCTCACTCATATTGAAATATGTTCTCCCTAGCTGTATTATTTTTTGCCAGAGCCTGATACAATTCCTGAAAGATGCAGTTCTCCTCAGCACAGGAAATATGCATCATATTGTTGGCATTAAGCAACCACCTGTGCAGTGGCTGCTGCAGTGCTTGCACAAGGAGGCAATGAGGCAATGCATCTGCCACCTGGCATATTACAGGTATGTGTCTGTGCTGCAGGGCAGGGCCGGATGTAGAGGGCACGGACTGGCTCTTTGAGGGCTCAGGACACTGAGTGCAGGGATCTGCACTCTAGGCAGGTGGGGCTTGAATTACTCAGAATTGCAGGAGATGCTTCTAAACACCAAATTTGAAGAAAGGCAGGGCTAGTTCATCAACAAACCATCACTGCAAAAAAGTTGCTTGTATTTCGGCAGCACCTGTAATTGTTTCATATGTTGTAAAGTGGTATCTAAAGATCCAGTTGAGATCCAGATGCCACCTATAGGAAGTGACTATTGCACACTGTAATTAAGTGGTGAGAGGGAAGGACTGGTAGGCACAGCTGAAAGAAACTTTGTCAATGTACTTTGACAGGAAACATGGACAGGATGCAAAAATCTGCCAAACATCCTGAGTGCTTACTGGGGCAACTAAAATCTCACTAGGATAGTTGAGTGGGCCAGTGAGAGTAAAGCTGGCCTGGGAATGTTTTCACTCGCATTCCTCTGTCACTCTTCTGATCTTAGCATAGATATACCCACTGTGAGAACTGATCCATACCTTCTGTAGCTGACTGAAGTTGAGAATAGGAGTGAAGGATACTGAGGCAGAGAGTCATGTAGTGACCCCTTCAGATTTCATAACAAGTCAGACACAACACGGCAAACAGAATCCAGATTCTCCTGTTTCACGGTTCAGTGCCATCCAATGGTTCATTTTAACTTGAGTTAAAAATGTAACTAACTTTTTCCCCGCACTGTTTGGACTCCGTATTTGCAAGCTGGATGTTTCATCATATTAGAGGTAGTAGAATGCTTTCACTGAATAGTTCTCAGATTCTGTGTTTGGATAATTTCTTTTACTTGTATTTGTTTTTTCTTTCTGTGTTGTGGCTGCTCACCAGTTAATGGGGCAGTTTCTCACAATGAACCCATTATGGAATTTTATTTTGGATATTCATTTGATTACTATGATGATTACATACTTGAATATTTTTAATCCGTTTTGTTTTGTATAAAAGACTCTTTTCTGACTCTCTGTTTTACTACTTTCCTCCCAAAGGCATATAAAACTTTTTTTAGGAACATCATTTAGTTTGGGAGAGAGACTGAGAGAAGCATTGGGGAGAAATGAAGAGGGAATATTCAGGGCACAAGATGTTGTGTGCATCTGAGCGCTGAGCACCATTTGCAGCTGTGGGTTTGATTAGCCAGCTCTTCCCGATGAACGGCCCAGGCAAAGGCAGCCGCCCCTGTCGCCTTGGCTTTGGCAAGGTACATATTCACATTACGGCAGGGGGCTCCAGAGCCGCAGAGAGATTGCACGGAACAGCAGCCAGTCACCCTGCAGAACTGAAAGGCATTTTAAAGAGTACTAAATAGATTCATTTTATTTATGTTTACAATGTAAACCCCTATAATATGTCAGAGAAATGATTAACCCATTATATAGACAGCCTCTTTTCAGTTTGAATGCCCTATCTTGTTTCGAAACTGATTCTTTGCAGACGTAAGAAACACATGGAGAATTACATTCTTGCTGCTTATTTTGGTAGGCAAAAAGGAGAAATTCAAAGCTAGTCTAGAAGAAAGATCTAAAAATTAATGGGCCACTTACCTTTTCAAGTTTCAAAGCAAGCTGTTAATGTTACTCTATGAAGCTGATAGTAATCCAGCAAGTTTTTTTCCTGGATATAAGATCTGATGCAAGTTTCTCTCCTTAAAATGCTCTTTGTTTTTAATCTGTTTAAATATTATGAAAAAAAAATGCTTATAATGCTTGAGTTTAAAACTTCTGTACTAATTAATATTAGTAGTATTCAAAGGGGCAGTTTAATGCAGATTTGACTTCTTAAGTAAGAGTCTGTACCTTAGTTTTGCTTGGACCCCTGAAATCATGCTAATATTAGTTAACATCTCTAACTCTGCTTTCTTCACATAAGAAGAATGACTACTCTAGGGTATGCTACTACCAGACCATACTGAATCACTAAATGTTTAGAACAAAACGTTTAGAACTCCAGAAAGTAAGCATAAAGTTGTACTACTTGAAAATGACTGTAGTTTACATGGTGAAAATTTAGAAGGATTGTAATACAGTTTGTAACATCTAGAAAATGTTTTATTTTGATAAGCCATTTGTTGTGTTTTGAAATGAGTGAAACATAAATGTTGGGAATGTGGTAACAAATATGAACAGGGTGAAAACTTGAAATCTTTACTGCTTGAATAAAGGAGAATACTCAGGCTTTCATGTTTCATGTTCTGGAAAATACTAGTAGCTGAACTGTAAAATCTTAGTTTTCGTGTAAGTTATACAGTTATATACTTGCAAAGGCAGTATTTTATCTTTCTCCTTAAAGATGGATGTGTATTATGAAATCAACTGGTTTCCTCACTTTTTAGTGGCTTATGTCATAATGTAGTTAATTTTTTTTTTTAACTAGCTTTTCATTAAAATACATGATACCACAGTAATTCTCTTAGTTGTTTATATTTTGATAAATGCGTTGGTAGCAAATATCTTTTTTTTTTGATTTGTTGAGAAGAAGGAAATACATATGTTTGAGGAAAGGAAAAAAAGTTTGTATGTGCTACAGACCTGATTCTAGCACCTTTGTTTAGTATAATACCACTGAGAAGCACTGTTTGGCTATGTCCCTAGTGATTTACTACAGAACAGCAAATGTAAGCAAAGATCAGTAATCCCATCAATTTAAGTGCAATGCTAGGTATTTGTCTTGTTTGATTCTTACCTCTTGTTTTTATATATGGAAGCCAAGGTGTACAAAGGAAATTGATACTTTGCTAAGGCTATTTGATTTGAAGTGAGTCTTGCTGTGAAATTAGTTTTGCATTTTGAAATTTGTCTGCTTTGCTGTTTTTGCCTAGAGTACCTGTAGTCCCAAGGCTACTCTGCTAACTGAGGATAACTCTACTGTAGCAGTTAACAAATTATTTCAATGCATGGACTTATTTCTTGACAATATTCTCTTAATTACCTACTGTGGACCCAGGGGCTTCATGGGCCTCAAAGTAAAAAGCTCTGTACTACTCTAATATTTCAGCCAGATCATCTGCAAACTCTGGCTGATGGTGACTGTGTCATAGGAGCCAGTGGGAAGTCTGTTATGCTTCCCTCAAATGTAGGCGGTTAACCATTAGCAGTTACCTAAGATAGCATTATATCTATGTCTGCAGTGAAAAAGAAGCTAGAACTTTGTTTATGTGGGAGAAAGTAATGTAAGAACGAAAACTGTGACACAATAAGGGTAAAACTTCATGCCTGTACAGAAGTTCTCTGTATCATTTGATGGCTTTAATACAGAGAAGTGGCTGTGCAGAATAGCAAACTGTAATTCCTCTGAATTTACCATTGAATAAAGTATCCTCAAAACCAAAAAAATAAGACCCATGAATAAATGAATAAGCAATGAGCTGTCAGCTGAAAAGAAGCAATGAAAAACTAGAAAGAGAAAGAAAAATGAAAGAGGACTAGGTGCCAAAAACAAGGTGCCAAAAAAATCAGGGTCTGTCAGATTGGTACAAGCAATGATCCCTGGTTCCTCATTAGTTCCATATACAGTGCATGTTGCCAGAGTCCTTTGGTCCTACATTAACTTACAGAGTATTTTGATAAACAATTTTTTCTTTCCACAAGAAGTGCCAGTGGAGACAGGTAAGAGAGGAACCCATGTATAGGAGCAGTCATGTAATAAAGGCACAAAACGCAAACAGGGGTTCTAAAAGTTTACTGAAATATGGATCTCATCTAACGCAGTGATCAGACCAACAGTCATTATTCTTCCTAGGTCTTTTATAGATGATCAAAGAACATAATTTTCTAAATTCAGCAATTATTTCTATGTGATACTAATATTATAGAAACACTAAAGGTACTTCATTGTTTTTATACAGTGCAAGTGATATTGAGAAGAAACCATGAAATTATCCAGCTGTACTTATACCATTAGGGAGTTCTTTCTGGATCACAGGTAAGTCAAGATAAATATTTTGGCTTTCAGTTTATGGGTACAGAGCTTGTGGTCAGCAGTTGATAGTTGGCATGCAGCTGCCTACTTTACCCATTTTTATGCATTAACTAATTTCCTTGATGTAGGGATTTGGGGATGGGGAAATAATTTAATAAATTATAACAAAAAAAAAAATCTGTTTCATCTACTTCATTCTGGATAGCCATTGCATAAAAACTGTCAAAAACATATTGCTCCAGGTTCATCCCTGCTGCAGTTCCATTGATTATAGTGGAGTTAAATCAAAGATGAATCTGTCTGCTCAATTTAAATCTAATGATTGTTTAGAAAGTCGGGGAGAGAGCCCTGTCTAAATCCAGTGCTGTTTTATCCTTGTGTCAGCATTTAATTCCATTTGCATATAAGCCTATTTCCCTTCTCTAAATTTAATTTGTTAGAGCTTGGCCCTCAGCAACAACAGCAACAACAAAGTAATTGCATGCAGTACTGGGCAATGGTGCCAGTACAGCATGTGCTATAAAAATGTCTCACACAAATTTATAAAATGTAGTCATTAGTGACATTCTGTCTGGTAACAGCAGTCAGTGTCTGGATATCTGAAAAAAAGAAGCGTTGAGCTACCTCGTGGACATGTGACATCTAATAATACACATATAAAGAAGTGATTTTTTAATATCAGCTATTAATTGTGGCCATTTCACCCAAGGAAATGAGATACTCATGTCTTATATGACCAATAGGAGTCATCCTAGATTTTCACTGAGATGAGATAAAACTGGCTGAGGCTTAGTTCTTAAGCTTCCCTAGGTATCATCTGTCACTTTGCGTAAGGTACTTGTGCTGCCTGACTTAGCAGGCTTGTTTTAAACTGGGGAGGAGTGGTTGGCATTGTCACAATATACCTTGTTTATTTAGCTGCCACACTCCACTGCAGTACTATTTACTATGTTCTCATAGCACCTAGCCTCTCAGTCCAGTCTTTAGATTTAGACCTTTCACCTGGCCGTTTTAGGATGAAAAGATTTTTCTTTGTGGACTTGGCCTGATCGACAGTCATTCCAATTCAGTTGTTCTTCCAAAGGTAGTGCTACCTGCCTCAAGTTTATAGGATCCGTTATTCTCATTTTATCCAAAGGATCTCTTTATTCTCATTTGTGGAAAGAAGACACTGATGCCAAGATACTGGCCTGGGGCACTGTGCAGTATTGTGCAGCTAACAGAGCCTGGAAGAGAAGCCAGATTTTCTGAATTAGAGCCGCATGCTCTGTGCCTAAGGCCATACTATACATACAATATAAGCTTATGAAGAGTGGAAAATAAACACACATCTTCCCACTTTCTGATCTCTATGTTTAGATAAATCTGGTTATTTCCTAACTTATCAGATCTTTTTGATATATATTGTTCCTCCTATGGATAGGAAAGTCCACTACTACCCTTGTTACTTACTCTCATTACCTCTTGATGCACTTGTAGGCTATCCTCAGTAGGATTAGAAGGCACACAGGACCTTTCAGGAGCCACTTACCACTTTACAGGATTAGGGTAAGCCTGCCTTTGATGTTTTTGTGATCACACCCATCTGTCATAACTGAACATGAAGAATTAGGCTTTATTTTTATTTAATGTTCTAGTTATGTTTAAAAGGTCAAACATAAAAATATTTTTTTTTCTCAATTTGCCTGCTTTTCTTTAAAAAAATCAGTGAGGATCTGTTTCTTTTTAAATACATACACTAATGCTTGAAAAGTTAAAAAATCCCACAGTTATTATCAGAATCAGCAAATAGATGTGGTTTCACCTGATTTTAAGTTTTAACAAGTGTACTCCATTTCACACTCCTTCCTCTCCTTCCATCCATATATTCATACAAATGTCAGATAAGGCTAATCCTTCATGTGACATTACTACAGATGGTTACATAGGGGACTTAAACCAGATGCTGATTGTCTGGATAATCTGGATAAAAGCTGATAACCTAAACCAAATCCATTTTGTGTATTACTCATGCTCACAGTTAAGGTATGTATAAAATCTTAATTTCCCTTTAACACTTTACATAACTCTTTTGCTTTCCTCTTTTTATACTTTCAAGGTTTTTATTTTGGAGATGGTTCTTCTGTATCTCCTACTGTCCTACCTCAGGTAAATCATGCATGTATGTGTGTATGTAAACAAGATTTGGGGAAGGGTGAGACACTTTCTACATAAGAATGAATACTAAATTTATCTTCTGTTTTAAAATTCCCATTGGAGTGAAAATTGCCATTCTTCAACAGGCATACCTGAAACATAACTTTAATTTCTTTCATATGAATAGGTTTAATAGAAGTATCAGCAGGAAAAAAATAACTCCATGATGACTTTCACAGAGTCTTTGAAGTTCAGTGGTTAGGATGAGAGCTGATAGGAGTGGCCTTCTGGTGACTGGCCTAGACCCCTGACCAGACTTCAGTGTTCGGAACCCATTTTTCTTTCCATAGAAGTATCCTATCATAAATGGGATTTACTCTGAATATTATGTATACCTTTATTCAGAAGATTTTAATTTAGTAATAGCATTTGTATGCTGAATTGGGGGATTCACAAAGACTATTTTGTCTATGAAGAACTCTATGTGTGTATTAAGCAGCCAGTTATTTACATGAGAAATTCTGTGACATAAGCATGCTTAACTACAGAAATGTAGACAATGCTCAGCATATGTGCCATATTATGTAATATTTATTCCCCTGGTACATACATATTCCAATGAAACAGAAGGATTCCAAGATATAATAGACTTATCTGAAGAATGCATTGGCTGTTTAAATCTGAGGTGGAAGACTGAAAGGTTAAACTATTCAAAGTACTGGAGTGTGGTTCTGACAGGGGCAAAAATATGATGACAGTTAGAGTCTGGGATCTCAGCTAGAAATGCTTATAGAAGGACTCTATACCATTCCTCTTCACTTCCTTCTTCACCCCCCAGGGTTTCTGTGCTTGTGTTTGAGATGAAGTAGGAATGTGAATTTTTGTTTTATTCCTGGGTGGAGGACTCCTGCAGAGGAAAAGGGAGAGAGGAAAGAAATATGCGTTGTTGCATCTGGTATCTGGATCCTTCCTTGCCTACCTATTACTACCACTGAATGCTGGCTATAGCTGGAGGACTTGGAGAGGAAGATACTTGTTTGCCATTTAATATAATGATGTTTTGGGCTTTTTTAGCTCTATTGTTCTTTTTTAATAAACAGGTTGTACTTCTAAGCTGGTCACCAGTCTTGAAGTTTAGAAAAATAAGTTTACCAAGAACCTGAGCTATGCAACTATTGTGTAGATTTTCATCTCCTGCCTAGCACGCTTGAGATTTAGCTTAGGGTATCCAACTTGAGCAGGTTCCCATAAAATAATTGAGATAGGGTCCAATCTGATCTCCCTCTAATCCAGTGAGCTATGAGGGCAGTGGTATGAAGCACTGTACCTGGCAGAAAGTTTCAGTGGTTCTCTTCTTGTTTTGCCCATAGTGGGTACTGGAAGAGCATGTAAAGAAGTCAAGGTCGCTGGTCAGCCTAAGCTTGTAGAGTACTGAGGTTTAAATATCAGGATTTAATACAGCCTTCTGTTACTTGTCAAAGCTCTCAGGTGGACAACCCTCAACCAACATATCCAGTAGTCAATAGCATGTATCTCTCTGAGAGTCCTTACTGTGCCACCAATTCTAAAAGTGTATAGACCACACGACTTAAAATAAGCTAGGTCTGCTGAAATCAACAGAATTCTTACATCAGTAGAAAACCTTGATTCTTCCCTTTATGTTAGAATGATATAGTAGTGAAGTATACTGCTCACTGTGGGTCAAATAATTCTCTGCAAATTGCTGAAAATGTTTAGAAGAGTAGTCTGTCATTATATCTTAGAGCATACTGCAAGGATACCTGGCACAAACCTTTTGCAAGGAGATGAGTAAAAGACATACTGTCCGGATATTTTCTGCCATTAATATACACACTGTGATCAGATACCATCATAATTGTTATTCATTATGGGATCATAAACCTTTATAGTGGAAGAGAGGGTAAATACTTTGGTCTGAAAGGTTAGCCAAAGGAAGACAAATTATTGCAACAGATGCATAAAGGTGAAAGAGGTGAGTAATTACATGAAATGTTGTGACAAGGAACCAAACTCTTACAATTATGTGTTTTGAGGCAAATGAGGTCTTGGTAGGATGATACACATTACACTAAATATTATGATTAATAGTGATAATGTTATTTTAATGTTTGTGGTTATCAAAGAGTGGAAGCAATAACTGGATCTAATTGATAGCAGCATCTGACTAACCTTTGACAATTACTTTTTTTAAATGTAAATTTTTAGACTGTGATTTTAAATGGTAGCAGTTGCTTGATAATTTATTTTAGAGGCTTACAAAAAAGTATAAACATAAAGTAGCATTCTATTATTGACCATATAGATGTGGCTGAAAGACATATGAATGGGGCAGATATTTTGCTGCCATCTGTTCCGTGTTAGAGGAAATGTCCAGTTCAGTGGAGCTGCTTCTTTGCATGTTGTAGGGTTGGAAATGCCATTTCAGCACTAAAAAGTCTGATTCATCAAGACTAAAACGTCACTTCCAGAAGTGCTGCTTAGTGGAGTGTGTATGTATGGAAATGATGTCCTAGTATAGAGAGGGTCCTGGGTTATGGGTGTTTTACGATCCACATATCTCTAATTCACCTTTTACTTTTGAAACATAACACATGTTCTAGCTGCACTGATATGGGTTCTTGCTTATTACAGTTAATGGATTATTCATCCTCTTTGTCCTTGACATAATCCTAAATATGTGCATAAAACTGAGATCATGTTGCCCATAAAAACCAATCAGCCCAGAGTTCTTCTGTAAGGTGTTGAACATTCACCCAGAGCAGATGGTAAAGATAATGTTTAATAAAGAGTTAGAGGATTAGTTGGAACAGAAATAAGCTAAGAGAAAGGGATAATTTCATTTCATATGAAACTCCATGACATTTCATGCACCCAAGGACTGATTAAAATTATGCCAAAAGCTGCTCTTTTTGGCCAGTTGTCCTAATACTGACCCTGCTTATGTTGTCAGCTGCTGTATCTGCATGTGTTATTTTACCACTTTGTGAATAACTCAAAAGAAAGCTCTTCTGATTCTCTTGTGGCTGGCAAAAGTAATTCTTAATTAAATAAGAACAGGAGAGGTGATAGGACTCTGATAAATGTGTTGAATATATTTAAGCAACTGATATCTCAACCGAGGTTTAGATGAAAGGTTTTATAGGTCATTTTAAACATAAATTAATTTAAAATGGTAGTTTTCATAATGTGTGGAGTTAAGCTTTGGATTACCTTGAATATTTAGATGCTGAATGAAAAACAGAGCAGGGGTAGTCCATAAAAAATTTTTAGTCTTATTTTAGGAAAATTTATTTTTGCCATCAGGAAAGGTAGTGGAATAACAAAACCTACAGATTTTACATATTGTGTAACATTTGTAATGAAGACCTAACTATCCTTTAATAAGGCTTAATCAAAGAAATTGAATAAAGCAAGTCAGAAGCAAATATTTTACAGTTAAGGTATTTCTGGGCCCATGGTTGTTCTCTGGTATAACTTTTACATTTTATAAATCAGAAGCTCTGACAAAGCATGTCAGGTATGGGTGTTGCAGAAGCAACGTAAGCTGAATCTACTGGTAAACTTGGTGTCCTTTGTTCTGAACACAAAATTTAAACCCTTTGAAGCTGTTCTTATAAATAAACACATGCTTAGGAGATGACATTTTAGAATAGTTGGTGGGAGACAGAAGACAAGGATTTCTTTCAGCAGTTATGGTACAAGAGTAGAACAGGATCAAAATCCAAACTGTTACCTTTCTTTACTGAGACTCAGTGGTTACTGAAGCATAAAAACAGATGTAAGCATCTCTGGACACATTCCAGCTGAAGCTTGAAGCTCTAATCAATCTTTAATAGTAGAACACTATTAGCTGTTTCTGTAATTCAGGAAGTTGAAAGTATTCTAGAATCAACATAATTGCTTTTGCACTGAAGTGGGCCAAAGCCGAAACCTTTGAAAGCCTCTTGAAGTTTGGTGGCTTGGATAATATTGCTACCTGTTAGTTCCAGAATTCAGCTGAAATCTTCTCAAAACATGCTCCACATTTTCTAGCCATCTCCTGCTCTTAGGACAGTGTTTGGCTGTCTTAAAGGCCCTAAAACTTTTTCTTCTGCTGCTGATTTTTCCTACCTTAACTTACGCTCCTTTTGTTTCTCCGATCAGTTACTTTTGAAGATGTTTCACAGGGCACTTCAACCAGGACACTTGATTTTAAATAGTCTGGATTAACATAAAATAGCAAGACACCGTTAGGAATGAACTGGAAATTAATGACACCTTAATTTCACTGGGAATAATTGCACTTATGACAAAAAAGCAAGTTTAGCTGATTCTTGTATTTGAAAATACTGATTGTTGTCAAATAGTTTACTATAAAACTATCTAGTAAAATTATTTCCAGATTTCCTTAGATTTGTTAAATATTTGTCCATACTTCATTGCAGCCATCTTTTGAAACCACAGTGGCAAGAATAAAGCTCAACAAGAAGTCTGTCAGCTGATACACAGTATCAAAATCAGATAACGCAGCTCAGCAAGAAGAGAGGGTCATATCGCACAGTTGAGATAGACATAGATAAGTCTAAAGCAAGTTATGGCTTTATCTCAGCTTAACATTGAACTAGATGCCCTTTCCAAGCCCCTTCACTCCCCCTTCCCGCCCCAGAATGTGCACTACAGCTATGCAGTAACAAGCAACTAGAATTAACAAAATTGGAGATGGGCGGAAAGAGGCCTTAGAAAACATGGCATTAAATTTATCATTAAGGATAGTTTTCATTCAGAACATGTTTTTTAAAATGTACATATAGAAATAAATATATTGACTAGCTGAATTTTGAAATGGAACAGGAGATTCAGGTATAAAAGGAATTTTTCTAGTTAGGACTTAATGTTAGTTGAATAATGATTGCACTAAAATGTATTGCAAATCAGAAAATTAACTTTTTTAAGCTCTTTTTCATGTTTTTCCATTTAAATAATATTCCCACCACCATAAACCCAAAACTTATGATAATTGAGGAGTGGGTAGGCATTTTAATTCTTTCCCAGATTGTGAATGATTAACATACAAGTAAATTCTTCTGGCACTCAGAATGTTGTTCGCCTGGTAAGTCCCTTCAGTTACTTTGCAGCCTGCCAGTTAGCGTGCTTACATCACCCTCAGATATTGCTTTTCTTTTTTCTATCTGCATAGAAAAAAACATTGTTTTGATTTCTTCTCCTTTGTTTTTCTTGACTAGGGCTTTTTCAAAAGTTTTCAGAAATCAAATGTGCACTAGTTCTTATTTGTTCCTATTTTATCTGTATGGGTTTCCTAACTTGCTTCCTCCAGCTCTAATCTCTCCTTTAATGGGTTCTCTGTGCTGCTTTTCTCACAAAGTGAACACTTTCTTCATTTTTGCATCTGAGTTACTCAGTTATACTTCATTAAGAGATTTCTGATTTTGGGAGCTTTGGAATAAGTGAGATCCTACCACTAAGTGTACTGCATTTTGGATGCATTTCACCTGTGCATAGTTATTGCTCTTGACTTGGATTAATAGAAAATCTTTTTTTTCTGCAAGGTTCTTACATTCAAATGCATAATTTCTTCTTTTGTTTTTAGATGCTTGTCCAAAGGAAGATTAAAGTTATGCTTGAATATCATGAGACACTGAGTTTTTTAAACAAAAACCCCACAAATTATTGATTGGCCCAGTGTAAGTCTCTTTGGAACATACCCTTGTGAAGACAATGACTGTGATGATGTGTGCTTTTCTGTAGCAATAGTTTTATTGGCAAATGTAATGTTTATGCTTCCTAGCTACATCAATGGGTTCTAATAAACAGATATCATGCAGCTACAGCAAACTATCTGATAATATTTCACATACTGTTTTTCCCAATAGGAAAGACATGCCAGTAGCAGGAATATTTGTTATTGCTTTTCATTACAAATACTCTTAATTTTTATCTCATTTTAGGCTAGGGGAACTCCAGAATTATACAGGATACCACACATGTCCAAAAATTAAACTACAGCTAAATTTTATCTCATTTTCTAACTTCTGAGGTTCCTGCTGAAGATTTACTTTAACTATCTTCCAGGATCTGATGGAAGTTCATACCAGAGACAGACCTCAGCCTGTAGCTGCAGTTCTATTTCCAAAAGAATATCCACAATGACTCAGTTCCTGCTGCTAGATTATTGCTGCACCTGTGACTTCTTAATTTAGCCACAGCTGGACTAGCTGGGACCTACTGGCTGCCAGTGGAGAGTGGCAGACTGCTTCAGGAACATTCACAGCTTCTCCATCACATGCTGTTGAACTGAAAAACAGCACTCAGGCAAGGGAAGGGTAGTGGCAAACTCAGGTCCTCTTTCCTCTTGTAGGAAAAAACCCTTACTCAGTTCATGTAGGAAATAACCCTTACTCAGTTTTATCTGAGTCAAAGCCATGCTGTAACACCCACTTTTCAGATAACCACCTAAATTTCTGCATACTTTGGAAAAATAATAGGCAAACTCCCTTCTTAATTTGGAAGAAGACCTCAGAGCCACCTGGAGGTAAACTATCATTTTTCATCACTTGTGGATTCTACTTTCTCCAGATAGGCAAAAAAAATCCTGGTGCAGAAGAGAAACTGGAAAAAAAACATTATAAAAAGAGATTTGGAAAGATTGTGTATTTTCTGCCCAGTAAATCATGGTTCTTTTAAAAAAAAAAAAAAAAGGTAACAGAAGGCGTCACCCTTCTGCTAAGTTCTTCCTTAGTTTTCCTCTTTTGGAAAACCATATAAAAGAGAAATGAATTATATGCTTTAAGGATGCCCTTTATTAGTATAATTAGACAAACAATTCTGCCTTCCTGCTTTCTTTTGAGACAGCACCTATCACCTTGTTTGGCTTGCCCATGCAAGTCACACTGTCTGAGCTGGCTGCCACATTGGGCAGTGAGAATGTGGAGAAGCTGGAAAGATTGGATCACCTCATTTTCTAGTAACATCCTGCCTTTCAACCTCCTTTCTTAAAGAAAATATAGAAATTGCTCCAGTTTTCCAGTGAAGAGTGACAAGATACAAAATATATTCCTTTTCCCCAGAGGTTAAATTAGTGAGTAGGAAGTGTTTTCTGATGCCCTACTTGTTTGTAATCACCAATTAAGGAAAATTAAATAAAACCTCCTGTTTAGTTTTGAACAACTCTGTCCCCTTATGAATGTGGGCAGATGTTTACATATGAAAATAAAACATATATTTCCAATACAAATAAATGCAAGTATAACACTTTTAATCTTTAGCAGGTATTTAGTGTGGTCCCAGATTTATTTGCTTTCCTCAGCTGTGCTCTTGTTGATACAATAGAGCTGTTTGTGACACTAAGTGTGGTGGATTTGATTTTGCTTGATTGACATTTCATGGCACTAAGATTTCACTCACTAAGAGTGAAAAATTATATTCTCAACAAAGCCTTCCTTGGTGGAGCTCTTGGAGACAACAATAAGACCTTCTCACGCTAAACAGAGCCTCTATAATGGCTGGGCCATTGCTTCATGGTTCTCTCTGAGTCTTTGTCACTCACCCTGTTTCCATCAGATGGTAAAAGTGTGATGGAAGAGTAAAAAATGCAAAGGAGAACCACAAATGCTACGTATTTCTTTTCTGTATATTTCATTGGCATTATTTAAACAGGTCACCTTACTTGGAAATCAAATTAAAAAGTGATTTGAATGGAGGATGGCAGGAATATGTATATCTATCATTGCTAATCTGGACAATGTAAAATATAAATTTCTAATTGTGAGGCATGGTGGAAGTTTGTAGAGATTGTCTTGTGAATCAATAACAATGAAACTTTGGATTAATGAGACTGAGAGCCTTGGATTACAAATGAAAGTAAGTGGGGGCAAACCAAGAGTTAATTTGTGGCAAGGTTGCTTAAGATCAAGAGTGCAGTCTGTCTTTTAACAGAATAGTATTTTTGTTACAGGGGCACAGTTTGGTGATACCAACACGTGGCAATGCCATGCAGAGGGAAGATAAATTTAGATTGAACGATTTCTCAGTTAAACAGGGACCAACAGGGAGTTTATAATAAAACAATTTACACTCAGTTTGGAATATGACAATGGCAATTTCTCTTGTGCTGAAAACAAACCATTATGGATGTATGTTTGTGACCCAGCAGGAAGTTTTCTAATACAGACTCTTTCCACATCTATTCAGTAGCAGATGTAATTTGTCCAACTTCTCTAGCAGTATATAATATCATGTATTATTATTACTGTCACATTTTCCTATGATGCTAAAATTCTGGTGGAAAATATAGATTCCTTTGGAATCCCCCAGAAGTGACATATGTCCTTCAGCCTTGAAGTTTACCTCTTAATAAATTAGAGGTTTAAATTCACTCATCTGCTTTTAGATTTCGTTAAAAATATTTGTGGTGTAATCTCTGATTCTAAAAAATGTATCAGGTAACATGTATGATAACAATTTTTCATTCACATACTATAATGTAAATCAGGAGAGGTTCCTTTGCCAGTGCAGTAAATCAGGGTGAAAGAACTGACTTCCTTTTTGCAGGAAATTTTAGTTGCATTTAAAATGCCTGATACTAGAAGTACTGATATTACTTGTGTTTTATTTTAGCTGTGTCAGCAGGAAGAAAGGATGTCAGTATTCCTAATCTAAAGTCTGAGGTCCCAAGTTTCTGTCTTCTTCAGTATGGATCCAACAAAATCCCATATAAGAGTGGTACAGTCAGTGTAGTGCAAGGATGGAGAACTGCTTCTTAAACCACCTGAACTCTCAGGTGATATTCAGGACCACTTCTGGTTAGACGGAATTATCATTGCTCCCTATCTTCAGGCAGAGACGTTTCTAAGACTTCCTTGCTGAATAAGATGATACTAACACAGCTGATTCTGTACTAGAGAAACAGCTGGTATCTATAAGTACAGGATCTTGAAGAGTTGCTCATCTAAAAAAAGCCTTGGTTCTTCAGTATAGGTGTGCACCATTGCTTTTATGGGAGAAAGGATAGCAGAAATTAATTGGAAAGTATTGATAATTGCACTAAAATTTCTGTGCAGGCCCAATGGGAACACATTCTTAGATTCTCTTAGTGAAAGTTTTATACAGACTTTAAAAATATTTTCCCCTTTAGAAGAACAGAGCCCAATTTCTTCAGTTCTTTCCTTCCTATTTTGTTTTTAC